ATGGAATATTTTACATTAATTGAGATTTAATTTATGCTGTTTAATTGAATGAAAGGGCTTTTTTGGGTTGTTTATTTATTGACACACCAGAGAAGTTAATGGGGCAGCAGCACAAATTTAGGGATTTGAAATTTCTTATGCGTTCTGGTTGACCTCCATTTCTATTATTGTCCGGTGTGAAAAGTGGTGTTTGCACTGACTTTTTGACCGTTGTGCTGTTATTTTCCTAAAAATATAAAATCATATTCATAAGGTGGCTTGAGCACACCTTTATTTCTTTTATTTCTTTGCATTTTACATACTCGTGATTGGGTAAATTTCACAATTGGGGCACTGTGAATTTTTTACTGTTTGATTAACACACATCCATATGGGTATCTGTGAATGTGTGATCATATCAAACTTTCCTGTGTTTACAATTAGCTGCTAAGTGCTAAATATTGGATTTTTAGAGCTAAAGGTTGGGTTTTTTATGTTTTTTGACAGGTCCCAGAAATATGGATGAAGCCCAATAGTGATAACTTTTACCAATGCATAGCCAGACCAAGGAATTACAAGAGTATGTAAAAAAGATTCTTCTTCTTCTTCTTCTTGTTTTTTTTTTTTTTTTTTTTTAAAAATCCTTGCTTTAAACCAGTATTTGCTTGTGCCTATGTGTTTTTTCACATACTTTAGGGACTCAGAGGACAACAAATGGATACATCCTAATTCACGCAAACGGAGGATTGAATCAGATGAGAACAGGAGTAAGAAGATCAATCAATCAGTTTTCATCCCAACATATAATCGGTTAAAATGTTTGTAACGTGTTCTTTATTTTTCGACTCGCTGTTTTCAGATATGTGACATGGTTGCTGTAGCCAAGATTATGAACGCCACTCTCGTTCTTCCTTCGCTCGATCACCAGAGCTTTTGGACAGATCCTAGGTAATAATTTTTTTTTTCTCATCAAGCATCGACATTTATTTGCATATTGTCAAATGTGTCGATCCCTGGCTCACGAGCTTAATTTTTGAACTTTTTTTTTATATTTTATTTTAAATGACAGCGATTTTAAGGATATTTTCGACTGGAGGCATTTTATTGAGGTGTTGAAAGATGACATCGATATAGTCGACGAGCTGCCCAAGAAGTATGCATCAGTTAAGCCCCTGATCAAAGCACCTGTTTCTTGGTCTAAGGTATTGTATTTTTCAATTGTAAATTTGTAACTACATTTTGCAGTTGTGTTTAAAGTGATTCATATTGAGATGAAAAGCAAATAAAAAAAAAAGAAAAATTTACATTCTTTGTTTGTTTTGTTTGGTTGAAACTTGAAACAGGCTAGTTATTACAGAAAGGAGATTCTCCCTTTGCTAAAGAAGCACAAGGTTATCATGTTCACACACACCGACTCGCGGCTCGTGAACAATGGCTTAGCCTCGTCTATACAAAAACTGAGGTGCCGCGCGAATTATGAGGCCCTTCGCTACACGCCCGAAATCGAGGACCTCGGCAAGAAACTCGTCGAGAGGCTTCGGGACGAGGGAGAACCTTACATTGCCCTTCACTTGAGGTAATAACTAATACCAATAAACTAATTCCCAAAACAATTGACAAACTTTTTGTTAAGGCTATATTTGGAAAACCTAGCTTAAAAGCTTTGAATTTCGAGTTTATGGTTGATAGCTTTTGACTTATGGCTGAAAAATTAGTTTATATGATAAAAGTGTTTGGTAAAATTAGCTGATAAGCTAGCTGAAATAAAAATTTCAATGGAGCGTATTAAAAAAGCTACCAAACCAAACTTATTTGAATACATGAAGCTTATAAGTTAATCAAATAAGCAATAAGCTAGCTTATATGCTTAACAAACACAGCCTAAATCTTACTTTTATTTTTTTTCTTGCTCTCCTTAGGTACGAAAAGGACATGCTCGCATTCACAGGTTGCAATCACAACCTAACCGCAGACGAAGCAAACGAGCTTCGTGTGATGAGATACAATGTGAAGCATTGGAAAGAAAAAGAGATCGACAGTAAGGAAAAACGACTCGAAGGAGGTTGCCCAATGTCTCCACGAGAGGCCGCTCTATTTCTCAAGTCTATGGGTTACCCTTCATCGACCCGTATATACATTGTGGCCGGCGAGATTTACGGCAAAAATAGCATGGATGCTCTAAAAACCGAGTACCCGAACGTTTTTTCCCACTCGACACTTGCCACGGATGAGGAACTTAAGCCCTTTAGCTCGTACCAAAACCGGCTAGCGGCACTTGATTACATCATCGCCCTTGAGAGTGATGCGTTTGTGTACACGTATGATGGGAATATGGCGAAAGCCGTGCAGGGCCACAGGAGATTCGAAGGGTTTAGACGGACCATAAATCCCGACAGGTAATAATTCCTTTTTTGCATAGGCCTAGTATTCAAATAAATTTCGTTTGGTAGGACGAGCTTTTTTAAAAAATTTGAGCTTATCTCATAAGCTTATTTGGGAAACTTTTAAAATACCCTCGTTGAATTTTTTATTTCTCATTTTACCAAACACTTTTATCATATAAACTAGTTTTTCTGCTATAAGTCATAATCAATAAGCTATAAGCTCGAAAATCACATATCAGCTATCAGCTAGCTTATCAAATCGCTTTATCAGCTCGAAAATCACTTATCAGCTATAATGCACATTCGAACTTCTAACATTTTTGTTGAAAAAAATCAGGTTAAGTTTTGTGAGGCTTATTGATTCGTTTGATGAGGGGGGGCTCACATGGGAGGAATTTGCGTCGGAGGTTAAGAGAGTGCATTCGGACAGAATCGGGGCGCCTTATTTCAGACAACCCGGGCAACTTCCGAGGTTGGAAGAGAATTTCTACGCGAATCCTTTCCCAGGTTGTGTTTGCAACAGGTCACAAGAGCAGAACAAGAGGAAGCAGTTGGATCAGAGGCTGAGAATCGCTTCACAATGACAGATACTTTTTTCTTTTTTTTCGTTACATTTTTTTGTTCGTTTTTCGTTAGAAAAAGGGGGAGAAAAATAAGAAAGAAGATAAGATTTTTGTATAGTACACGATGAAATACGAATTGGGAGCGACGACGAATTTTTTTCGCCATTTGCATGATATAGCAAGAGAAAAAAAGGGTCACATTCAAATATAGGTACATTTTGAGATGTGATCTTTGTATGTAAATCCTTGTTATGGTTTATGATGGGTGAGGATATATATATATACACACACACCTGGGGTTTGTGAGCTGAGAAAGCTGGGTTTGGTAGGGGCGTATATATACCACAGTTTGGTACAGGGAAACTGCAGATTTATTCAATTTATTGTTTTTCATAATTTTTTCTCCCTTTTTGTCTTACTGTTGGCTGCATATTTATGGTAAGATGATGATTTAACAAGCAAAAATTTTCTGTTGACTTTTTTACCTTTTCCTGAACGACGTGTTTCAAGTAGAACACTGTGGTTCCGTTCTGAAGATTTTCTTAGTATTCGACTAAAGATTCGAAACTAAACTGTGTATCAGCTGCCAAGATTTACGAAAAAAAATGCAATAAATGGACCAATACTAGCATAAGTAAAATCTTATGCTATATGAAATTTGGTTCAGATCACTTTGATTTCAAGATCTTACGAAACACATTCGTCTGTCTGATTCGATTACAGTCCACATTTTGCGTGTCCTCGCATAAACAAAAGCCATTTAATGTTTTCCTACCATTGACATGTCACATGTGGAGAAGGACACAAAAAATGGCAACAGAGAAAAAAGGAAAATAAAAAACAAGAGTCCCACAAGCAATTTACTTTGGAGATGAGAAAAAGACAGATCAAGAATTGTGTTGTGTGCTGAGAATGATAAGAAGACGGCCTAATGCAAATAATTATACTCTTGCGTAAAATTATATCCGACTGTTAATAGAATTTAATGATGGAATGTAGTTGGTCAAATATTAACTAGCCAAGCCAGAGAGCTGTTAACAAAACAATCTAGTCAATAAATGAGCTCGAGCTCAATCTGTTCATCGAGTTATAGTCTATAGAAAATTACATATAAATCTTTGTTTTCGAGCTTTCACCTTGACCCTCCGATGGACATGTATAAATAGTTTCATTTTGCTATTCACGATGTTAATACATACATTGTGGTATGAGATTGCGAAATATTAATATGCTACTAACTGATTGCAGTATGAGATTAACATATAGTGACAAATTCACAATAAATATGTTGTTGGAAGATATCAAAATTTTGATAGGTAGCTAGTAGACACAATTTAACGTGCTACATTTGATATGTTCAATTACTCATGTCTAAATACAATGTAGAGTTTAGACTTTTCAATGAACACAATTGCATTTATACTAGAGTTAATGCATTTTACTTACATTTAATATCTTGAACTCGAGATAACACACCATATGGATCAATCAATGTATTTAACGAATTCATCACATAAAGATCACTCACCTGAAATTACAATAGGTTCAATAATTTACACAAATTAAAAACCACAAATTGAAAACAAAACCCCTTTATCATACTAAAAAAAAAAAAAAAATCTATCCTAATACAATTTTTATTCCCCACACAAAAAAGAACATCCTCCGATCAAAATCACTCCACCGGAATCATAACCTCATTCGTCCTCAACGGCGGCAAAGTCCACGGCGGATTATACCTCGCCAGCACGAAATCCGCCGCCGCTGTATATCCATCCCTCTCCAAACACTCCCTCAGCTTCTTAACCTTCTCCGCCACAACCTCCTCACGCGCCACCCCACTAAACCTAACTACGCCGTACTTCCTCTCCCCCTCCTCCCTCACCGCCACCCTCTCGTCCACCGGCCGCGGCGCGTCCTCCGCCCTCGCGTACTTCGACGGCAGGATGAACCCCATCGTCACCAGCTCCCCGCCGCTCGAGATTACCACCGGCGCGGTCATGGCGATCTTCTCCGGCGGCGCCGACCTGGTTATGACCGGTGCCGTCATCTCGATCTTCTCCGGCTTCGCGTTCTGCGGCTGGCCAAAGGCGCCGATGTAACGAGCGAGGATGGAGAAGCCGCCGTCCTTGTCGGAGTTGAATTGGGCGGGGTCGTAGGTCACCTCGGCGACCACCGCCGGCGGGTATTTTCGGATCTCGTATTCGCCGGCGTCGGCGATGACTTGGTAATTTGGGGTTTCGACGCTGATTTTCCCTAAAATTAAGCCCATCTTTTTCAGGGTATTAACAGTTGTGCGGATTAAATTGGGGAGTGCGGATTAATTTGGGGATGTTGAGGAGAATTATTTGAAGTGTGATGTGAACTCTTATTTTGTGGCTGGCAAAATGAGTGTATTCAGTTGTGCCACGATTAACCTCTTTCAACCGTGTTAGAAAAACCGTTTTTTTAGCAAATAAAACAAACACATAATTTAATAAGACAATGGTAATATAGTATAAACCCAGCTGCAGTCGGGTAATTATTGGCTTTATCGACTTAGTCTCAATTTTTGTTAGCTCAAATTTGATTTGTTAAGGTTCAGTTCAACTCGTCCAATACATATAACTATTTGAGTACGATTCAAATTTCATAATCTAATATTTTGCTTGAGTATAGCTCGAATTTTCAATACTCTTATTTGTTATTTCTATAAAATAAGATTTATTTTTCTCAAATTTGGGTTGAGTTTAATTGATAATTGACTTAATTTTATCTTGTGAATATTTAGATAAATTATATTTATTCGTCAACCCAACAAGATAAGTCCCGATCCCATTAAATGGGCTTATGGGTAGCCCACTATATTGGGCTATCCCTTGGGAAAATAATATGTTCGGCCTCTAAAAGAGAATTAGGCCTACTTGGTAGCAAATGATGGGATTTTGTTCTCCATGTGGTGGTTAGAACTTCCCAACAAGATGTCAAATCCCATACATATTTGATTCCAAACACAAATCCTTTCGTTTTGCACTAATGCCTGGCATAATCAAGACAACATTATTTCACAATGCTGCTTTCTTTTGTGTAATATTTGATGATGTATAAGTCCATCAAATGGAATTATTATTCAAAGAAACTGCACTGCAAAGATAGAAATGCAAGAATAAAAAAACTATAGTTAGGTTGTTGTTAAGGGTGTAAACGAGTCGAACTCAAGCATTTCAGCTCGTCAAACTAAACAAGCTTATGCTCAACTTTTATTAATATTAACGAGCCGACTCAAGCCTTTCAGCTTGTTAGCTAATCGAGTCGATAACTAAGCTCAAGCTCAGTTCGTTTATTAATATTAACAAGACAAGCTCGAGTATTCACGAGCAATGATTTAAAAACCGTATCGTACCGGTCGGTAATACCGGATATTGGCCATTGGTACGGTACAATTACACTCAAAATACCGGATTTATGGTTATACCTGTTTGTACCGGATTCTCTTAGCCACATCAATTACCTACATCCTGTTTGAATGTTTTTGACTCCACCCTTATGTGAATGGTTGCTGATTTATCTTGTAGATAATGACCTCGTCTGATTTTAAGTTGTTCTTGAGAGTTGTAGATTTATGTCTTAGGAATCACATACCACTGGTTTCATGTTGTTTCGATTTATGTTCTACTAGATGTGTTCATTTGAAAATCGTTGCCCATATCATGTTTTACGAAATCATTAATTTGATTCCGAAAATAGCACGCACCATCCAAATGCACGATTATATGACCCAAGTGATTTATTTCTTGATCCATGTAGTATGCTTGATCCTTAAATGTTCTTAGAGTTAAAAGTTAAGCAAGCCAAGATATCCACCAACCAAAAAGACTTAAACATAAAATGTTTTCAAAGTATGTGAGCTAGGCGAAGCCAAGCGAGCTAGTTTTCAAAGCCTATATATATTAATAAGACTAGCGAGAATAAGATAAGCCTTGATAAGATTCTAAGACAAGTCCCAACGAATGTAGGTAATTGAGGAGTCCAACTTCGACCTACGCCCTTTGCTTGTCAAGTTGTTTCAATCCGGAAATCCAGGTGGGTTAGTTATTCTAAAAAGTCTATGCATATGTGTTTTTAAATGTGTTTGAAAATTTGGTATGATCTATGTATGCATGTGAGCATGTAGCCTACCGATGTAAGCTTGATAGTCATCGGTACGGTTGTCTCCGTCGATGTAATACGATTGCCCTTGCGAGACAAGTCTCTTTAAGACCTAATGAAAGGCCGTGTCCTTGCATGGCACGCACTCTCGCCGTTAGGATAATGAATCTCCTTTCCGCGACTAATGAAAGATGTGTACACAAGAGTGAGCCATTGATGTGGCTAAGAGTCATTGATGTGACTAGAGATGAGACATGATGTTATTATTTTTTATGTTCAAGTTGCGACCATACCTTTTATTGTTATAAATGTGCATATGCATAGTGGTGAGCATTAAATTTTCCTATTATGCTCACTCCCACCGGCTCTTCATGGATGCAGATTAAGCAGTTGGCGGATGACGAGACAAGGCGAGTGGGTGGTCTTGTTTATGTATTTATGATTAGTATTTGCTTCCGCAGTTATGAACCTATGATTGCAGTTATGAACCTATGATTAGATTGTTGAACATGTTGGTTGGTTGACTTTGAAAACATGTTGAATTGGCTATTTTGAAAAACCTTTGATATCCATGAGTATGTGGTTGAGAATATTATGATGTTTATGCTTATTGTTTATGCTGTTGAGATTGTAGTTAATGAAAACATTTGAGAAATCAAGTAATGAATCCCCGTTAGTTCAAACATGACTTGAATTTAGTGTTGAAATGAATGAGTAACGTAAAAAAATGTTTATGATTCGAAATGAATTTCAAAAATTTTACTGGGATTTTTGGAGAAGTCTTTTATTTTCTTTAAAATCAAAGTGAGACGTTTTGTTTTCGTGGTTTATTAAAGCATGACGTATAAATATGATTGTCTAACCATTAGGCAACCTAACAACAATATCCAAGAAAAAGAAAATAGAAAGATTCACACTACATCCATCACACATGAACAAAAATACTTGGCATTAACACCTAATCACACACCATAAATCCCACAACCTAACAAGAGAACTCAACTTTGCAATCGAGATTCGAGAATGAAGCTGTATCTTAATGATCAAAACATACGAGAATATCGAATACAGCATAGAAACTTACATCACAATGAATGATCACTAAATTACAGCAGCAACCGAAACACATCCACATACTTAGGATTTACAAAGAAAAAAAAAACAGAGAGAAAAACGCATCCAAGTCGAACGAACACATGCCTACTACTTCTTGACATCTTCGATGGTTTTATCTGAAGAAAGAACGTCAATCTTATCATATCCCGATTCTTTAGTCTGCACGGCAAATTCCTCCGGCACCACAGGGCGCCTATTTCCAAACACAGCCCACAAATACAACACGAGAAAGGCCCCAATCGCACCACATCCGGACCCAAAAAACAATGCAGCAAGTATTTTCAAAGCACACTTATCTGATCTTTTGGAAATTTTCAAACTTTCTCCTTTCTTAGAAGAACCTTCCGGATCCAAAGGCTCGGAATGCATCCAATGTGGCATGATTCTCGAGTTAAAGCTCCACGAGTAAATGATACTATATTGAGAAGAGTTACCACTCGACGAGCTTAATCCAACCGTAACATTCTTGCCTCTCCACATTTTGGACAAATCAATTGGGTACGTAAGTAAAGGGGCAATCGGCTTAATTTGACCTAATCTACTCAACCTCACCTCAATTCTTTTACCACTTGCTTCATAATCAATCCAAGATTGCAACTTTTCACCACTATTTAGCACTAAATTAACAGAGGACACATTGCTAACCTTAACAGAGACAGGGGAACCAATATCTAACCCTACATGATTACCATTGACATCACCATACTTCTCATCCATAAAAGTATCGAATTCGACAGCAAGAAATTTCGATTTTTTCTCACCCAATATCCCCATTGAGCCCAAATCAGAAGAATTGTGAGGAAAATCAGAAGGGAGCATGAAAAAGGCCAAACCATCCCCATTTTTCCCAGACATTGAAAACACAAAGTAGTTTGAAAAAGACACCATATCTCTTGAGCTCAAAAGATTAATGGGTTTCTTACAAATGAGCCCCCCACCACTAAAAGACCTCGAACCAGCAATTTCAACAGACATATTGCCTAGAACAACCTTAGCATCCCCGAACAGAGCAATCTGTGACCCAAAGTTTGAATCTTTACCAAAACCCTCGAAAGAAAAAGCCAGATTTGGGTCTGCATTAACGGCTTTCAAGCAAACATTGAGCAAGAGGGATGCTAGTAAGTACCTGAGAGATAAAAAAGCACCCATTTTTTTATTTGGGTTTTTCTTCTTGAACAAGAAGAGCTTTGTGCTTCTCCCCTTTGTCCTGTTGTTACAAATCCTTTACAAGGGTTTCTTGAAAATGCCCATGTAGCAGCTGTAAATGGTATAAACGTGCAGTGATTTTATTGATTTTTTCTAGGGTTTGAGAATAGAGAGAGAGAGAGAGAGAGAGGGACTAGAGAAGGCATAGAAAAAAGCTTGGGAAATGGGTAAGGAATGGTGGTGGGTGGTAATGATTTTGGAGGTTGTGAAAAATTAAATACACATATTTATTTAACTGTATTTTTATGGTGCTCTGTCTGATTCACTTTCGTTACCCTCTCAGTGGTTGCTGACTGAGGGAATATAATATGGGGACTTATTTTACAATTATGTCCTTTTATGTTTTTCGCTCTGAACTTGCATTGATGGTCAAGTCACTTTTATTGTATCAGTTTTATTTATTGAATGCTTTTTGTAATTTGTACTTCTTCTTTTCAAATTACAAGACCTAGTTAATGATATTAGATNNNAATTGAAACTTGTGATAAATCAGCTTATCTATATCCATACGCATCTAGCTTTTACATGTACAAATCATTTCTATGTAATTGAAAGATACTTTGAAACTTTTTTATTGTTCAATTTAAACGATCAAGATTAAACAAAATGAGATGGTCATGCGCTGGACTCGATTACTTTGATATTAATCGAACTTAGATTTGTTTAGATAACGAGGCAAGCTCCTAAAGGCTCGAGGGTGGAGGTTCTACGTAATTTTATGCATTTTTTTTATCTTAATTTGACTTGTTAAAATTTGAGTTCGGTTAATTGAGATTCAATACCGTCTTGGCTTGTTAATATTTATAAACCAATTGGGTTTGAGCTTACTTATCGACTTGTTTAGTTAACGAACCAAACTTTGGCTCGAACATTATTAAAAGTTCAAGCTTGACTCGATTCGTCTCGTTTAAATATTTACTAAAGAATATAAAAATGGGTAACAAGAAGTATCTTTTGTTTGCTTTTTCTCACAAGCAAACACCCCTAAAATCTAAATACCATCAATTTGTGAGCTTTACTCAACAAAGTAATTAAACAAGTAAAAAGGAATTAAGGGGAAAGATTATACCCACTTTCATGGTGGTCAGCAGACAACTAAAAATGAAAACAAGAAAAAGGAAAAAGGAAAAAACATGTGCAGTAGAGCTTTAGCTATTGTGAAGAATGATTACTCTAATCACCCAACACTTCTTTTCAAAGGATTAAATAAGAAAAAAAGATAATAAACTAATGATCGCGTGTCCCCTTTGTCCTCTTGATTCACACACCGGTCTTATTTTATTTCCATTGATATATTATACTCCCTCCTTTTTTCAATAGATGTCGTTTTGAGAAGTTGCACACTAATTAAGAATATTTTTTTTGCCAATAATAATCCTCATTAATGAGGATAGAGATGGATGTTTTGAGAAAATATAAAGAGTGAATATGAAAAGACGTAGTGTATTTATTAGCTAGATAAGGGTAATAATGGAAAAATATGTACAAAAGATCCAAAACGTCATTTATTTAGACAATTGATGATAAAGCCAAAATGATATTTATAAAAAAAAAGAGGTAGTATATGTCTACAAAGATTCTTCGACCCACCAGTCTAACAGTTAGATTGATTATCCATTATATTGTTTTAATAAAAATATATACTTATATTATTTAAATGTATATTTGTATTTTTCAAGGCACGATATTTTGATTTAGTCATTTGCATATTTATATATAAAAGAAAAATATATAAGTATATTTATATAATAGGTCTATCTAACAATAGTGTCACTATACTATAATTTGTTTATTCAATTAAAAAAAAAAAAAAAAAAAAAAAAGAAAAAAAAAAAAGAAAGAAAGATAGAAACTAAAATAAAACACACACACTTTGCAGAGATGACAGCTTGACAAGTGGACCCTTTTGTTTTGGAAGAGGACTTATCATTAAATTGTTTAACGAACTGTCTTAACTTTTTTCTGTCTTGCTCATGTGCTTATCCAACATCCTATACCTTGGGTCCTAATCTACATGGCAATAATGGACCCCTTTTGCCTACATTTGAAAATAATAATTTAGCCTTCTATTGTCTTATCAAATGATAATATTGGTTAAGTAGATAATCCTACACACTTTTTAGTAAGATTATTAGATGTATCTCATATAATGAGATGATCACATTAGTCTATGAGATAGAGAATAGGTTCTTGTTTGTGAACTTATATAGTTTGATGAACATACATTGGGTGTATTTTGAAGTGGTTGATAAGTTAGTTCATTTCTAATTTTTTAAAATTAAATTATGAAAAATTACAAATTATTAGTTGATAGATGATTAAAATTAAAGAAGTGGTTGTGAAATAAATACACACACTCCCACGAGAAACCGTGATGTAACTTGTTCAATTAAAGAAAGACTTGCATCTGGTTCCATTTTTATTAAACTAACCCAAAAATTTGGTATTTTATCTTTGAATCATGTAAAATATTTATTTGCTGCTATTATTATTTTTTCTCGTTTATACGTTATACAATTATTTTTTTTATAAATTATACATATTTGAGTCATGTATGTAGTGTCGACTACCTCCAATAATTAAACAACAATTTACCCTCAATCATAATTCAAGATCAATATCGACAAACTATTGATCAACCATAAGTTATCAACTACCAATTAGAACTATTATCTAGACTACTAACTAAACCAAGCATGATCATCATCATAAGATACCTAACAAAAATTGGACCTCAATACTCAATAGTGATATTTTTGCATGTGGTTGCAATATAGAATCAATGACATCAAACCCTTGACCAAAGGTTAAAGGACAATATCATGTGGTTGCAATATAGAATCAATGACACTAGAATATTTTTTGCACATAAGCAATTAATGCCATTTATGATAGCCTAAGGGAAAGGTTGGTATGGTCCCCCACAGGTTAAATTTTGAGTTGGTGACATAAAAATATTCTTACATTAAACCAACACACATTGTATTTATATATATAAATATATGCATATTTTCATTAAAATATATCATACTTAAAGAAATACTAACATATATCAAAATGCAACACTTGATAATATAAATATATATTTTTATTGAAAAGTATAATGAATCGACAATTCTAACAATTAGGTCGCCTCACACAAAATTAAAGAAAATGTATTTAAGTTTTTTGTTTCATTATGGAAACTCCATTGCCTCACTGTGCATTTACCAGAATCTCACATTTTGCCCCCGACAAAGTTGTGATAATTGTTGTCTTAACATTATTTTGTCCAAACACATTAAATTTCAAATTTCGCAGTTAATGCACCACACCAATACGATTTTTTTTTATCAGTCTAATAAAACCAGTGAATCTACATGAAAAGATTGTCCATGGAATGGAAGTTATAATATAATTATATCACAAATGTTGTTAGCTACCTAATCGTGAGTCAAAACACATTCTCCTACAAAATTTGCATGCTTATTGCAATACCTTCATTTATATTGTGTTTTAAACATGATTTTAGTACGAAATAATATAAATTTGTTGAAAAAAATTATGACAAGCTAACCATCGGACAAAATCTGCTCGACAATTAGACATATCAGTATGAAAAACATGCAATATATGTTGAGAAAGTTAGGCCACCTAATGGTTGGGTCTGCCTAACGAATCTTTCTATCGTACAACACAAGTACATCAAACTCAAAAATCGAAAGACTTTGTATAAAATATAAATATCTACATTAATAATTGATCTCCGAATATGTTGTCACATAAAGAAATGTAGAAGTTCAGAGAAAGAGAGCAATTTCAGAATATCACTTATCAAATATTGTAAACAAAGAGTTGAAAAGCAAGCTTATAAAGTGGCTTTCAAACTGAGAGCATTAATCAGGACATAATAATGAACATTTGAAAACTCAAGATATAATAAAATTCAGGACCTAACAATTACAACATTTATATTCCTCTCCATACATGTTGCCGAAAAATACTAGCTACAAATTACCATTTTCTCCCTGTTTATCACACCTAATCGGAACCTATTTTGCATGATTGTATTTTCTTTATCTCTCTCATCAATAATGGCAGAAAACAGATAAATAGGCCTTTTCACGTGTGCCCTTGTGGTTGGGGGTTTCGAGGAAGAGGTTCTTGGGTGAGATTTGCAGCCAGCCAAACGCGGCACAGCGGGATGCTGCTACCATGGCTTGTGTGGCGGCTGGGGTTTTTGGGGTGCGAATATTGTGAGGGTGCACAATGTGAGGGATAATAGGGATGCTGTTAGGGTCTGCGAGGCGTTGATGCGGAGAAGTAAATGAGACTTGCTGTTTTACTTCTGTTGAGGTCCATGAAAGGGGGATTAGAGAATGATTTTAAATACTGTTGTTCTTGTGTGTTTGGTTGATGGGCTTGTGATCAGATAAGGATGTGATATCAGCTTCCTGAGTTCTGAATTTGAAATAATTGATAAAGATCTCATCTTTTTCATCTGCTATGAGTACCCATGTAATTTTTTTGTTGTATTTTTTCTGCTGAAAGTTGCTTGACTGAGATATTTTGATTCAAGTATTTGAGTTATTGAGTTATTTTGGCTGCTTCCTTTGATCTTCAGATACCCGATTCGACTAGCAGTTTACATGGTATGATTAATGTATGTATCTTAGACTTATGTTTTTTTTTTTCAGGAGATGAGATGACAAGGGTCATTTGGAAATTTATTAAAGACAAGGTGTTATAGTCTGTAGTATTATTTAAGCTTGATCCCATATTTCTGTCTATTTAAATTTCAAAGCTGAAATCTTGGGGTTTTATTGCATTGATTGATTGCAGTTGATTTTCCCTTTCTTGGAGTTGGATATAAAGTACTTTGACCTCGGTCTTCCTCATCGTGATGCCACAGATGATAATAAAGTTACTATTGAGAGTGCTGAAGCTACTCTCAAGTATGTGATTTATATCAATATTGATGTTGTATTACCTTACCAGCCCAACTGACTGACTGGACTATTCTATATGTATCTAGGTATAATGTAGCGATTAAGTGTGCTACAATCACTCTAGGTATGAAGCTTGAGGTTATCAAGTACTATTAATCTGGCTCTATTTAAAATATAGTTGATCATGAAATGGATTGTCATGCTGTGAAGTTTAAAAATTACTTTCAGATGAAGCTCGTGTGAAGGAGTTTGGCTTGAAGAGTATGTGGAAGAGTCCGCAGCTCGTTTGCAGCTCGAAGTTTTAGATCAGTAAGAAATTAGCTTTGATGATAATCCGAAGCGTAAAGCAACAGATCACAGGTGAAGATATTGATTTCGGGCTTTCAGGTGCCAGAATCGCTTGCTCTAGATACCATATTGAATTCAATTTTCGAGGTAAGACATTTTGAGCTAATGTTTATTTCTGGTAAAACTCAAAATGGAAGATGTACAGTGTCGACCTATATAAAGGTCTTATGTTCTCAGATTACACGCAACAACAAAACGACATCGTTTTGTTGTGAAAGGAAAAACACATTACACTAATAGAATCGCAAACTCGCTTATGACTAATAAGCGGCTAATAAAAGCAAAAGAAAAATATCGAAAGAAAATAACAAAGCAGCAACACGATAGCAGCATGATGAGATGTCTTCACAAGCCATGCACGATCAAACACAATTCCAACAATATTCCAAGAAGTTTATGAATCTAGCTGGAAATCGAAGTTTGAGGAAGCAGGAATCTGGTGAGAGTTTCTGTTCTTAAATTTTCAGAGGGATACATTAGTTTTAAGAATTTGATGATAAGTTTTAAGAATGATAGAGGAACAAAAGGAAATCAAATGTCTTGTATAGACTTCATGATTCATGATTGGGTAGACAAGGCCTAGAATCTATGATCTAAACAAAGGGTAACCTTGCTCGAGGCTTAAATAAGTTGAATTAAGTAAACACATTAACAACACCAATCTCAATATTCATGTCAAAGATTACATAAAAGGGAGAAATCGACCATATCAGTGACTTGCATTACTGATATCGATTTTTTTACCGTTAAAAAATTTAGTGACTGCTTTAGTGACTACAGATCAACCACATAAAAGAAATATGTTTTTATCTGATTTTAACTGTCTGTTATTATTTTGATTGATGCTGATTAGTCAAATTTGATTGTTTCTCAGTGGCTCATCAAATTCTATTTGCTAGCATGTAAATTAATGTTCAATGAAATAATATTGCATAGTTTTGAGATATAACATTGTTAATAAAAAGAGAGATTACACATCTGCAAAAATCATCAGTGCCATTTGAAATTAGAAAGTTGAGTTATGGAGTATAGTGCTATTCCAAAAGATACGGTCAAAACACAATTAGGGCTCCTTGTAAAGCACCTCTTATATTATATTGTTTGTTGTATTTTTGGGATTGTTGATAACTGAGTATCCAACTCGTGTGGTTCTCAAAGGAAGACTATTCAGAGTTTTGTTCACTAATCAATTGTTATGAATTGTCCAAATCACACAAAACGAGAAAATAAAAGCTAAACATGCTAATCGATAGTTTGAGGGATGAATTAATGCTAATCGAAACTCGAAATAAAAAACAATTGAAAACAACGATCAAACGAGAGAATATCGCAATTAACACTTCTCATTCCTTTTGTTTTGTCATTAAAAGAAGTTTAAAAAATAATTAAGAATCTCCAGAGATTCGAAACGACTAAACCGAACCGAATCGTGAACCAAAAAATAAAAATCTTCAAACAAAACCGTCTGGATTTTTTGGTATGGTTCCGAAATCGAATTTAGTGATCTCTAAATTTTGGTACGGTTCTAGAGGTTTATCAATCTCTAAACCGTATCAACCCATACTTATTCCTATAATAAACCAAACCACCGATTGTTTTTTCCTTCACAATTTTCTCTCTTCCCTTTTGGTGTTTGGTGTGCTTGCAGATTTTTTATTTATTTATTTTTTTTTTTTTAATTCGATTTCTTGAGGCCTTCACTTTGATTGAATTCATCTCTTGTTATCTATCTGTTTAGCCCGTCACCTGTTTTGTGTTAAAGATCCAATCTTTGAGGTGTTACCGTACATTTTTAGCTCCTTTGTCTGCATACGAGCAGCTCATATTTCTAGTGCTTTTGCTGGAACATAGTTTCTGTAGCAGGCCCTGTTCCTATTTTTCTCTCCAGCTTGTTGGGTTTGTTTTACTCTGGATCGAATCCGACAAAGTTTTGATTTTCTTTAACGGAGAGAGAAAATATCTCGGATAGAGAAGTTTGATTTTTTCTGGGATTCAGAGGTTCATTGGATTGAAGACAGTGTTTTTTGGGAATATGGATGATTTCTGCAACTATTGTTGTACAGGTAAAAAGCTTAGCTCAATGAATTTATGTCCTAGATAAAGGTTTCAGGTCAATTTGAGTGGATAAAATTTTATATTTTCAACCCCACATCTGTATTTTTCCTTTTAACTTGAGTTTTGAAAGAGTCTTGTGGGATGGTGGAGAGACCTAGAACAGCAGAAACCTTTTCTACTATGAATTATGTCAAATTGTTCCATACTTCCATTCATTTAATAAAGACTTTAACCTTTTTTTCTGAGTTCTAGCGCTCGACTTCCTTGAAATCTCTGTTGAAGCTGAAGCAATTACACTTTCCTCATGTATGGCATTGACATTGTCTAAAGGATTCTCATCCGTACTCTCCACTACTTCTTTCTTGGTTCTTGCAAAAGCTCATTTTCTCGGTTTTACGAGTCTTTTCCTCTACAACTCCTGCTTCTCCATCTGATACCTCTTGAGGTATCGAGTCACCAACTCTGTTTCTTGAGACAGCTAACAGTCCCTTTTTATTTACCCTATACTCCTGAATTTTCACTAAGTGCATACATGGGAAGGTACTAACATTTAAGTCCCACCTGCATATTCTACCCAAACAAACAGTAACAAAAATCTAAAAACTTGGTACATCTTTAGTCTTGAACAGTGTTTTTAAAAGCGCAGCTTAGCGCGCTACGTCGCGCGAAATAGCACAAATCTCCTGAAAAACGCGCCATAGCGCCTGTAATTTAGCGCAGTTCCAACATAGCGTACGCTTTTGATGACGTGGCACGCATTTTTCGGATAGCGTACGCGATTTGTGCTATAGCTTAAATTCTGCATGCTATTTGGGACCCTAAAAAAATTGAAGGCAGAAAATTAAAGAAAAAAAAGAAAGAAAAACAAAATTGAAGGCGACGAAAATCACAATCAGAAACTCAGAAATCAGAATTCACGAAACCCTCATTTCACTTGTCTTCATCATCTCCCTCTCGGCCTCTCCACCGCAGCCTCCAAGGATCCACCACAGCCCAGCTCCCTTCATCATTTCACTTCTCACATCCTCTGTTTCCTCGACTCTCGTCTCTCGCTCTCGCCTTTCGCCCAGCTCTCGGCACCCCCAAAGTCCCTTCTCCTCGGCTCTTTGTACCCTACATCCCTTGCACGGTTGCACCTCGACTTTCAACTCCAAAGGTATCATTTTGTTTTTCATTTGAGATTATTAATAGCTTCAGTGAATGATTTCGTTTTCTCGCTCTCGCCTTTCATTTTTTTTTTTTTTTTTTTTTTTTTTTAAAAGGATTGATGGAGATTGATGTTTGATTGCATTTTTTTTATGTGTATTTTTCGATTTTTTTTTTTAAAATTAGAGTGAGATATAAAGATTGATGAAGATTGATGTTTGATTGCATTTTTTTATGTGTATTTGCCTATTTGCTGATTGGGTCTGGCTATTTTTTTTAATGATTCAGAGTATATAGAAGCTAGAAGTATAGAACAGATCTATTTAATTTGATGATTCTATTGTAGTTGAAGTGTGTCCTGATTCTTGAATATCTGAGTATGGAACATATAAGACATAAATGAATTGTGTCCTGAATTATTTCCATTTGGTAATGGAACATCAGTGAGGTATTTAAAGAAGTATGCAGTTGTTATTTATTAGAATGATTGATTAAATGTTTCTAAACTTAAATTATTAGTTTGTTTATTATTAAGGTTAAGAAAATGGATCCAAACATAACTGGATAGATGAAGAGATTACTGTTTTGTTGTGATTACTGTTCTTATTACAGTCAAATAATGAATTGGATGAGGCCAATTATTTTTAGATTTTGAGTCTTTACTTTGAAGATTATGACTTTGGGTTGTTGTATGAACTAATATTTGAATGTTGTTTTTTAGATTTAATGTCTAAATTTATGGTTTAAGACTATTTTAATTATTTATTTACTTGTATGGTTATATATATTATTATTTTTGGCATTTAAAGTGAACTGCTCGAATAGCTTACGCAATGCGCTACGCTATTTACGCTACGCAATATCAGGATCAAAACGCGACGCGATGCGCTATGCGCGTTTTAAAACACTGGTCTTGAACCAATACATAAACACACAGAGTAGTAGATTTCGAGTCACGCTGTATAATGCCAGTTGTAGATTTGAATATATGACCTTCAACTTCAATCTTTTGTGCTAAGGTCTATATTGCGTCTTTGTATATTTAATCGAGAGGATCAAATTGTATAGGTGTATTAACTGTCTGTAAACTTTTTTAATTAAAAGAAGCCAAAAAAAAAAAAGGAAGTGATTTAAGCTTCTAGCCAGATAAAATCAGTAAATCTGAGAAATGTGAATCACTTTTCTTTTCCTTTTATATCAAACTTTCCTGAAATTCATTATAAAGCAGACTTTAACTGAACGAGTATTCCTTTTCTAGTTACATGCTCAAATTTAACCTTCAGCAAGAACAATGCAAACTTTTAATCAAAGCGATAAAGACAAGCTGATATCTCAGCATAAATATATCTAGAATGGTAAACCAAAGGAGAAGATGAACCTGGGCACCAAAGAAAACTGTGTATAAGACAATGAAACCATGGATTGAGATTTTCTCAAAAAACCCAGAAATGGGTTTTAGGGGGCAGAACAAATGCTTGAAGGAGTAGATAATTTTGATTTTCCTCCATATGGATTTTATTTTAATATTTAGAAAAAGATATATATGTGACTTTTATACGCTTCTTCAACCTTGTTTTTCACAAAGTTGCCCCTAGGTAGTAGTTATCCTAATTGCAGGCTTGCCTCTGTTCATTGCTCTACAGTCCGCTGTATACCTTCCCATCATCTCCTTCCTTTTTCTGGGAATACTTTTTCTGCAAAGTTCTTGGATGACATGTTCTCTTTTAATGGCACTGTTGTCTTACATCTACAAATACGGAATTTGTCTCAATAGGCAGTCCTCTTCTATTTCTGTGTAGTTATGGAGCTCAGTGTTTGTGCATAATCAGGTGGGGTTGACATATTAGCGGTTATTGAAAAACCAATCTTGGATGAATTTCATCAAACAGCTGCTGCCAATTAAGCATGGGGCAAGGACAGCTAAGAATTCATGTAAAGGTGATTTCGTGTGTTGCATAATCTTATATTAATGAATCTGTACAAGTTTTCAACCGCATGCAGCTGTGAGGATGAGTTCTGTTTCGATTCATTGTCTCCTTGCTTTGTCCTTTGTGGTGATTTGTGCCAAATATGTAGATACACCTTTCTTTACAATTGTCTCTGCAGGAATCAGATACTGTTGATGTGTTTGTGTGAATAAATTTTCAATCTATTTTGAATTTGTTATTAATAAGGTCCAGATGAACTGCATTCTATGATGTGAATTTCATGGGTTGTTAATAGTGGTGAATTGATCTGAAAATTTTTTGTCTTCCTTTTGCTCAAGGAATGTATAAGCCTGAAGCAGAAAACAAGAATCAAGCTATTTTTTATTGTTCTTCAGAAGTTCAAAATTTACTCGTCTCAATTTTATAAAACCCAGCCTGCACGATAAATTCAATTATAATTGTTCATAATCACTTGCAATAAAAGGGATTGATGCTTTAGTGGTTTTAAACCATTCAACTTATGCTTCTTCTAGTTTCTCTCATGTTTCCATTCCTTCACAGACGCAAGCTTCTGTATTTCTCGTTCAATTCATGAAAGCATGGTCGAAGTCAACTCCAAAGAGGAAGAAGTCGTAATCGCCCTCGGAAGCAATGTCGGCAACCGGATTCGAAACTTCGAACACGCCTTACAGCGCATGAGAAAATCCGGCATCCAAATAACTCGACACGCCTGTTTATATGAAACAGAGCCCGCCTACGTAATCGACCAACCCCATTTCCTCAACTCCGCCGTTCGGGCCAACACAAAGCTCAGCCCGCAAAAGCTCTTACAAACCCTCAAAGAGATCGAACGAGACATGGGCCGAACAGCCGGCATCAGGTACGGCCCACGCCCAATCGACCTCGACATCCTCTTCTACGGTGACCAAACTGTCGACACAGACACTCTCAGGATCCCACACGAGAGAATCTGGGAGAGGCCTTTTGTTCTAGGACCATTGACCGATGTATTGGGCCACGACACGGAGAATGATGACGTGGCTCGATTTTGGCACGACTCGTCGGGTTTTTCAGGTGGGATTTTCGAGGCGTGGGAGAAATCGAAATCGGGCCCAGGTGGAATAATGAGGAGGGTTTTGCCAGTCGCGGGTGAATTACGGGATTGGTCTGGGAAAACATGGGTCATGGGTGTTCTCAATGTGACCCCCGACAGCTTTAGCGACGGGGGAAAATTCGTCGACGTGAAATCGGCCGTCGATCGATCTCGGTCGATGTTGGCTGACGGTGTAGATATAATCGATATAGGCGCGCAATCCACGCGGCCAATGGCGGAAAAGCTCTCTCCCGAGCAGGAACTGAGTCGTTTGATCCCGGTTCTTGATGCCGTTGTGGATTTGCCTGAAATCGAGGGGAAGCTGATATCAGTCGACACTTTTTACTCGGAAGTCGCCTCGGAAGTAGCCAAACACGGCGCTAATATCGTGAACGATGTCTCGGACGGGAGATTAGATCCCGACATGCATAAAGTGGTGGCGGGACTCGAAATTCCGTACGTGGCCATGCACATGCGAGGGGACCCGTCTACAATGCAGAACAGCGAGAACCTGAGTTATGTTGATGTGTGCGCTGACGTGGCACGTGAACTGTGTGAGTGTGTTGGGGAGGCCGAGTTATCGGGACTGCCAGCCTGGAGGATGATTGTGGACCCTGGGATTGGGTTTTCCAAAAATACGGAGCAGAATTTGGATATAGTTAATGGGTTGAAGTATATCAGGGGTGAGATTGGGAAAAAGAGGTTGGCCGTGTCACGTGTGCCCTTGTTGTTGGGTGTTTCGAGGAAGAGGTTCTTGGGTGAGATTTGCAGCCAGCCAAATGCGGCACAACGGGATGCTGCTACCGTGGCTTGTGTGGCGGCTGGGGTTTTTGGGGGTGCGAATATTGTGAGGGTGCACAATGTGAGGGATAATAGGGATGCTGTTAGAGTCTGCGAGGCGTTGATGCGGAGAAGGAAATAAGACTTGCTGTTTTACTTCTGTTGAGGTCCATGAAAGGGGGATTAGAGAATGATTTTAAATACTGTTGTTCTTGTGTGTTTGGTTGATGGGCTTGTGATCAGATATGGATGTGATATCAGCTTCCTGAGTTCTTTGAATTTGAAATAATTGATAAAGATCTCATCTTTTTCATCTGCTATGAGTATCCATGTAATTTTTTTTTATATTTTTTCTGCTGAAAGTTGCTTGACTGAGATATTTTGATTCAAGTATTTGAGTTATTGAGTTATTTTGGCTGCTTCCTTTGATCTTCAGATACCCGATTCGACAAACAGTTTACATGGTATGATTAATGTATGTATCTTAGACTTATGTTTTTTTTTCAGGAGATGAGATGACAAGGGTCATCTGGAAATTTATTAAAGACAAGGTGTTATAATCTGTAGTATTATTTCAGCTTGATCCCATATTTCTGTTTATTTAAATTTCGAAGCTGAAATCTTGGGGTTTTATTGCATTGATTGATTGCAGTTGATTTTCCATTTCTTGGAGTTGGATATAAAGTACTTTGACCTCGGTCTTCCTCATCCTGATGCCACAGATGATAATAAAGTTACTATTGAGAGTGCTGAAGCTACTCTCAAGTATGTGATTTATATGGATATTGATGTTGTATTGCCTTATCAGCCCAACTGACTGACTGGACTATTCTATATGTATGTAGGTATAATGTAGCGATTAAGTGTGCTACAATCACTCCAGGTATGAAGCTTGAGGTTATCAAGTACTATTAATCTGACTCTATTTAAAATATAGTTGATCATGAAATGGATTGTCATGCTGTGAAGTTTAAAAATTACTTTCAGATGAAGCTCGTGTGAAGGAGTTTGGCTTGAAGAGTATGTGGAAGAGTCCGCAGCTCGTTTGCAGCTCGAAGTTTCAGATCAGTAAGAAATTAGCTTTGATGATAATCCGAAGCACAGATCACAGCTGAAGATATTTGATTTCGCACTTTCAGGTGCCAGAATCGCTTGCTCTAGATACCATATTGAATTCAATTTTCGAGGTAAGACATTTTGAGCTAATGTTTATTTCTGGTAAAACTCAAAATGGAAGATGTACAGTGTCGACCTATATAAAGGTCTTATGTTCTCAGATTACACGCAACAACAAAACGGCATCGTTTTGTTGTGAAAGGAAAAACACATTACACTAATAGAATCGCAAACTCGCTTATGACTAATAAGCGGCTAATAAAAGCAAAAGAAAAATAACGAAAGAAAATAACAAAGCAGCAACACGATAGCAGCATGATGAGATGTCTTCACAAGCCATGCACGATCAAACACAATTCCAACAATATTCAAAGAAGTTTATGAATCTAGCTGGAAATCGAAGTTTGAGGAAGCGGGAATCTGGTGAGAGTTTCTGTTCTTAAATTTTCAGAGGGATACATTAGTTTTAAGAATTTGATGATAAGTTTTAAGAATGATAGAGGAACAAAAGGAAATCAAATGTCTTGTATAGACTTCATGATTCATGATTGGGTAGACAAGGCCTAGAATCTATGATCTAGACAAAGGGTAACCTTGCTTGAGGCTTAAATAAGTTGAATTAAGTAAACACATTAACAACACCAATCTCAATATTCATGTCAAAGATTACATAAAAGGGAGAAATCGACCATATCAGTGACTTGCATTACTGATATCGATTTTTTTACCGTTAAAAAATTTAGTGACTGCTTTAGTGACTACAGATCAACCACATAAAAGAAATATGTTTTTATCTGATTTTAACTGTCTGTTATTATTTTGATTGATGCTGATTAGTCAAATTTGATTGTTTCTCAGTGGCTCATCAAATTCTATTTGCTAGC